TTTTAACTTTGGTAAAGTTTCTTTTGCTCTATTTAATGCACCAGCCTAATAATGGTTGAGTTAATTTACAATTATTTGCTCAAGTCACTTTTACAAAATTTCGTATTTACCATATTATAGCAACGAATGGACGAAGAGTTAGTGTCTAATAGAAAACTTATGTAATCGATATAATAAACGTGATTATCATATCAGATCTATTAATTCACTGTGAAATTATTCGGTACACAAAACGTGTAACGGACAACCAAGTTGTTTCTTTTTTTGTTTTATATCGATATTATGTATTAGTGCAATTTAGATATTTTCTGATTTTTAATGACGGGTTATATTAATTCTGGATCATGTGATTAAATGCAAAACGGATATCAAATATTATTTATTGATAAAATTATGAAAAATTATTATGAATAAATTGATCGTTAAGATCTCTATGATTTGTAATAAAGTTTTTAGTAGCTTCTAGTTTTCTTAAAAGCTCACGATTTTGAATTTCAAGTTCGCGAATTTTTTGTTCTAAATTGCTTCGAGTTCGCGAACTTTTTGTTCTAAATTATTTGTTAGAATTAACTTATTTTCGAGATCTTGAATTCGAGTTAAAAGATCTAGTAATTTATTTAATATTAGTATTTATTCAAACTATATAATTATTCACAATTATACGAATTGATTACCTTTCTTCTCCTTTTCAAAATTTTCGAAATCTTAATATTGATTAATTGATTTAATAATAATAAAAATAATTCATAATAATTAATAATAATTAATGATAATAACTTACAATTTTATATGTGTCGCACATGGAATTGATGTTTACATCGATAGGCGTCTATAGTATCTAATAGATATATATATATTAGTAAAAAAAAAAAAAAAAAAAAAAACATCCAAAAAAAGCGTTAAATATACCGTAGACGCTTCATTACTATTTGGACAAAAGTTTCTTCAACGACAGAAAAACGTAATCAACCCAGCCTTTAGAGTCAGTAGGCCTCGTCGGCAAGAAACTCCATTTAATTACTGCAACCGTATTTGAAATCAACCCCTGATAAACGGTCGATCCAGACGTCAATAAACCAACCAGTCAAGTAGCTGACCAAGAGTGTTCCTTCGCACAAGTGCCAAGGCCCCCAATAAACAGTAATTAAAGGGTCTAACTATTAAAAAAAAATATGTCTACTTGGTCCGGAGCGAACAAGAACGAGCGGAAACGAGTATATAAAAAAAAGAAAGGAAGGAAAGTT